CACTTTGAATATTTCTTGCCACTCCCTTCTGGCCTGCAAAGTGTCTGTTGAGAAATCAGCTGGCAGTTGTACGGTGCTCCCTTGTAGATAACTAACTGCTTTTCTCTTGCTGCTTTTAAGATTCTTTCTTTGTTTTTAACCTTTGGTACTTTAATTATGATGTGTCTTGGTGTGGGCCTCTTTGGGTTCCTCTTGTTTGGGACCCTCTGTGCTTCCTGGACTTGTAAGCCTATTTCTTTCACCAGGTAGGGGAAGTTTCCTATCATTACTTTTTGAAATAGGTCTTCAATTTCTTGCTCTCTTTCTTCTCCTTCTGGAACACCATAATGCAAATGTTGGGCCACTTGAAGTTGTCCCAGAGACTCCTGATACTATCTTTCTATTTCTGGATTTTTTTTTTCTCTTCTGGCTGGGTGTTTTTTGCTTCCTCATATTCCAAATTGTTGATTTGATTCTCAGCATCCTCTATTCTACTGTTGATTCCCTGTAAATTATTCTTCATTTCAGTTCGAGTAGCCTTCTTTTCTGACTGGTACTTTATTATGTCATTGATGATCTCACTGGTTTTCTTAATAGTCTTAGTAAGATCCTTGAACATCCTTATAACCATTGTTTTGAACTCTGTATCTAGTAGCTTGCTTGGCTTTACTTCATTTAGGTTTTTTTCTAGAGATTTCTTTTGTTCTTTCCTTTGTGACATGTTTCTTTGCCTTCGCATTTTGGCTGCTTCCAAGTGTTTCTTTCTATGTATTAGGTAGAGCTGCTATATGTCCTGGAATTGGTAGAGTGGCTTTGGGTAGTATGTGTCCTCTAGGGTCCAGTGTCTCAGCCTTCCCAGTCACCTGAGCTGGGCCTTCTAGGTGCTCCCCTGTGTGTGCTGTGTGCACTGTCCTGTTGCAGCTGAACCTTGGTTGCTGTTGGCATCACTGGGAGGAATTGACCCCTTGGCCAAGCAGCTGTGAGGGCCAGCTGCAACTACAGCCAAAGAGCTGCTGTGCTGGAGACACCCCTATGGAGCAGGATTTACTTTAGCGGGGCTTTGTTGTTCACCAAGTGTGCCCCTTGAGTGTGTCACTTGTGGATGTGGTAGGGTTGTAATCCAGTGTGGTCGAGTCTGACCACCAGGTGTACTGACTCTGGGGCCTCCAGGGAGGTACAAAGTCAGCCTCTGCCAGTGCCTTGCCCAGGGCCACCCACCCTGAGCTACACAGCAAACTGTAGTTGGCTGCTACTTGTGCTGGGCTTGGTGGTGTGCCAAAGAGGCCAAGCTATGAACCAATGTAGGCTGCCATTAGTGCCAGGCCTGGGGCCATTTATTGAGCCATATCAGGCAAGCTGCTGCTTGTTTGAGAGATTTTAGGAAAGTCCTAAGCATGAGGCTTGAGAGGCCACTTGCATAGAAAAGCCATTGGAAATGGCTTGGATGAGCTTGCAAGTAGAGTAGGTGAGGTCTCCAGGAATCACCAGGGTGAGGTTAAAGGTGTGAGTCAGGTTGCTGGAGATTCAGATTTGGCACCTGCCTGCGTGATCTGTGGGGGAGGGATCGTCAAAGGAGCAGTAGCCTCTGCCAGCTCTTCCGTCTTGGAGAAAGCTGCCCCACCAGCTCTCTCCCGACTTCAGGCATGTTAGTTCCTCCCCAAATGTCCCAATTTCCTTTCAAGCTGCTGCCCAGTGCTGGAGCTCAGAGGGAGTGCATCACAGTAAGTCCATGGGCCCTCCCCCCCTTTAAGAGGAACTGCCTGGGACTCCTGCAGCCTCTGTGTCACTCAGCCACAATCTCAGCTGGTTTTGTACAGCCCGAAGTTGTAGGGATGTTTCTTCCCAGCACCAGAACCCTGGTCTGTGGGGCCTGATTTGGGGCTGGGACCTCTCGCTCCTCTGGGAAACCTCCACCGCCAAGATATCCTTCCCGGTTTTAAACCACAGCACCTGAGTGTGGGACTGGCCAGTCTCCGGGATTCCACCTGTGTCTCTGCCCCTCCCTACCGATCTTGATGTGCTTCTTCTGTTCTCTTGTTGTAGGACTTCTGTTCAGCTAGATTTCAGGATGTTCTAAATGATGGTTGTTCTGTATTTTAGTTGTAATTTTGATGTAGTTGTGGGAGGCAGCAGGTGCTGCTGTTAATAAAACTATTAGGAGCCATGGTAGGGAAAAGGGAAGGGGGGTTGATAATTTGCTGCAAAGCCCAAGCAAGTTCAGGCGGGAGCATGTCTTCATAATAGTTAAGGGATTGGTTGTATATGCAGGATAGCCCTGCAAGATGCTATTCAGATGCCAACTTCCTATGTGAAGCTTTCTCTGAGCTCTGGTGTAAATTGCTTTATCGTTGTGTTTAGGTAACACTTGTTATGTTCCTTGATTAGATCTTGTCTCACTGTATGAACTCTATGTCTCTCTTCCTCACTAAATTGTGTGATCTTTGAATGTAAAACATTCTCTACTCATCTTTGGATCCCCTATGTCTAATATAATACCTGATGCATATTTAATGTTCTAGAATTATTTGCTTAGAAGAGTCATGAGGACTGGGCAGCTTTTTTGGCTGTCAAGAGCCTTTGAATGATGGGCTTTGTGAATTAATCATGGTCTTGGGTCCAATTCTCTGCCTTGAAGACCAAGGCCTTTGATTTTGTCAACTCACCATGAGTAGACAGGCATCTCTCACTGATTGCCTTACACAACAGTGATTTCAGCAATATATTAGCAACTTATTATTTTACAATATGATACATAACTGTCTGGTTCCAGGACTACTAATGTCAATTTTTTTCATAGATATATCTTCATGGGAAATCTAATTAAAATATATATGGATACATTTGCCATAGTACAAAAGTACTTGAGTTTTTAGGCCTTACAGGTTACCTTTCATCCAGGCATTGCCATCTTCTGTTTTTTTGGCTTTTTTTCTTATACTTCTCTAATTCTATAATGGATCTGTTCATCCCTGGACTGCTCACAAATATTCTTTGAACAAGATAATCACTTAAAAATGTATAATCACCTTTGCAATGGTGCCTTCCAGAGGTTATACATACTCAGGTCAGCATGATTGGATGTGTATGTGTTTCCCAACTCTTTAAAGTCACAGATTCACAGGCAACTCTTTGTTTAATTTCCTAGGTGGTTCATCACACATTCATTACAGTTTATGGATTTTTACTGGTTTAACTCTCAAGGACAACTTTATAACCTTATTTCCAAATTTTGAGGGATGGGCATCTCACTGTCACCTCAGTTACTTCCAAGAGTAATAATTTCTAAATGTTATAAAAACTTTGAAATATATGTCAATGTCATTCTGTATACTGGAATTTTTAAGACCCACTGTATAAACAAGAAGAAACTGGATTTGTACCTTCTATGCCAACTCATAATCCTAATATGTATGTGCTGAATAGATTTCTCTAATTTTTTCTATAGGCATTATATCTGATAGCTACTAATGGAACCCCAGAGCTTCAGAATCCTGAAAGACTATCGGCTGTATTCCGTGATTTTTTAAATCGCTGTCTTGAGATGGATGTGGATAGGCGAGGATCTGCCAAGGAGCTTTTGCAGGTGAAAATAAAATAGGACAATTACAAAGAGTCATTATATTGAGCTTTTTTAACTTCAATGTGTGACAGCAAGAGAGCTCTGTCAAGAGATGTCTAGTGAGAGTTAAGCTATAACCATGTGATTTTAGACCAGAGGCACATAAGTATAGACATACATTTGATACATGATTGATTGATATGTTGCCTTTCTTCTTGAGAAGTTGGCAGTTTAATATATAAATCTCTTTTGTTCTTCCTGGAGTCTTATTTTGCAAGGGGAAAAAAATGTGAACCTCTGGTGTAGCTGTTTTGTTCTAAACTTTGCTTGTGCCCCTGGATGTTGTATGCAGGTGCTCTTGGCTGGAGGTAATTCTCTACATAATTATGCAATTATTTCCATGGCATTTGCTACTTTAAAGCTTTACTACTCAAGGCCCCTTTGCTTGTGATGCCAAATGGCAGGCACCTGCTTGCCTGGGTGAGTAATATCCAGTGGTGAGTGCCTCTGTAAGCATTTGTCCTTTTCATGGCTCTCAGGGATTACTATATACAATGATAATTAATATCAATGATGTACCAGATTATTTACACACACCTCATTTAATTCTTATAACAACTCTATAAGACAGGTGTTTTTATCCCATGTTACAGATGTAAAAATTGAGACTCACATAGCTATTGAGTAGTAAACTGGGATTTGAGCTCCGGGTTGTCTGACTTTCCACCACACAAACACACAAGCCAATTTAGAACAAAAGATGAACAGGAATAGCTCAGAGATATTGCAAGTTTGATTCTAGACCACCATAATAAAGCCCATATAGCAATAAAGTGAGTCATAACCTTTTTGTTGGTGAGGAGTCTTGCTTTCAATTTGAAAAAAAAAAAAAAAGAGAGGAACGCAATAAAGTGAAGTGCAATAAAACAAGGTATGCCTGTACTTATATTGATAAAGCAACACTTGCCCAGGATTACACATGTAACTTCACTGCTGGGGACTGTTCCTCAGGAAAATGTATCAAGCTATATAACATTCAAGAACAGTGACTGATTGTTCTCTCTGTGACATAATTAATTTAAACAAAAGGCACGACCATAGATTCAGTCAGTTCTAGGCAAAAAAAACAAACAAAAAAGTTATATATATATAACTCCTTCTTGAGACAGGCAAAAAATATCCCATGCCAACCCAAATTACACCAGGGATAAACCGACTTGGAGGCATTAAAGAAGCTACACCTTCTCTTTTTTTGCTACCTGTGAGCATTTCACTGGCTCTCCTAACACCCTAAAATGTCAAATCTGGAATGGCTCTTTAGTAATCCTCTAGTTAATCCCATCTCAAATTACAGAGGAAAAACCTGAACTTTTGAGTGCTTCACTTCCACATCTTTTCACTCCTCCTACCACCCCACATACACATCCTGATACATGTCCCAAGGATAAATGAAGGTATTGGTTTTCTTAATATAGCTATACAGTTACATAGATACTTGAATCAATTATCTGGTTAGTTCATTCCCTAATAGTACTTTTATCTGAACCAGTCAAATAGCTGACACAAAACTATATTGAGTCTAAATTAAATAGTTTTTTGTTTCATCTCTTCATTTTATATATATAGCAATAACCTGTATATCACCTTAAGTCCACACTTCATTCTCTTACTTTAGCCTACCAATGCTCAGTTTAGAAGTTAGAAAGGAAAGAATTGCATGACATTCACACCACTGTAAGGCTTGAGAAAATACACAGGTATTAAGTATTTGTGTGACTTTCTGTATGGCCTAAGCCAGTTCTCTGTCCATTAATTAATATTTATTGAGAAACTCCTATTTGCAAGACTTAAGTGCGGTGAGTGATATAAACCTCATAAAGGTGTGATTCCTCTTCTCCAGAAGTTCACAATCTCCTTGAGTACATAAAAAAATAATGAAAGGTTGTTTAGAGACTCATTCAAACCAAGTGACTGTTCAAACAGTAAATGCCATGATTCTGTAGGTGATCAGAAAATGTCTGCAAACAGGAAGGAGTTCTGCTAAGCTTTGAAGGACAAATCAGTTTTAGATAGGTTGAAGAAAAGGGGGGCAGGAATTACAGATGGCAGAACTACCATGTGACCAAAGGTATGTGGGCAAGGCTTAAGGGAACAGAAAATAGAAAGTATAGCTGAAGCATTCAAGTAGGCAGTTGCAGGAGCTAGGATCATAGAGCTTAGAGGGTCTTGAACACCAGGCTAAAGAGTTGGGGCTATAGGCAGATATCTGAGGGAGTCACATGATGAAAGCTTTGTTTAGGAAGATTAATCTGGTAGTGTGAAATAAGAATTATCACCGGGAAAAAGTGGATGGAAGAAGATCAAGGGAATTATTGTTATAGTTCAGAATTAAAGTTGATTAAGCCTGAACTAGGGAAGGCAAGAGATCATTGTAAGAAGCATTGAGAAGGAAATACTTGGTAGCTGATTTCATGTAGAACATAAGACAAAGGAAGATAAAAGTGACTTCAGAATATAAAACCACTGGTAGCACTCAGTAAAAGCAAAAGCGATAGAGGATAATACAATGACAACATGTCTTTGCTTCTATGCAGTTTATAAAGAACTGTCATTTACCTTACCTAACTTAACCATTGTAATAAACAGAGGAGAAGATTAAATTTAGGTGCTCTGATTCCAAAGCCCCTGTGGTTTACAGCACACAAGAGTGGAAATTTTTAACATATGGTTTAAAATATTGAGTTCAAGGTGACAGAAGGACATTTAAAAGGAAATATCCAGCAGGCAAATGGAGAAATAAGACCAAAATTAAGGGAAGCGATTAGGTCACACAATACAGATTTGGGAGTTATCCCCATAAAGCTGGTGAGAGACTGAAAACATGAAAGGGAATGAGCTCTCAAGGGAATTAAATTAGAAAAAGAAGATAAAAGCTAAGTTCTAGTATGTGGGGGGGGGGGC